TCGATTCCCAATGGGGATCGCCGTCGATTCGAGTAATCAGGAAACGATCCCTCGACGCGTGGGCGTCGGAAACGTCTAGAGCACTCTAGAGCAGCGTTTCCCAAACGTGAACAAGTACTCTACGGAAAATCCTGATCAACGTCTCCGTAGAATCAGGAAATCTGTTCTTTACGATATGGAAATTTAATTGTGAATATTTGAGACCTTTTAACAAATTAACGAGGAAGATTTAGATATGGAATTCTAATCCTGAGCAATCATAATTAATTCTTAACGCTAAACCTACCGACGTTTCATTTTTATGTATTTCTACCTCGATTGAACAAGCAGCTAATCTTAAAGACGCTTTTTTTAAACACAATGCAAAAACATTTCGCGCGGTACTTAATTAAATAATGCATGAAACAATTGTTTTTAATTTATATGCAGGTTTAGCGTTAAATAGATAAGATGACGTAAACGACAGTTTTAATTTTAGTTTGAGAGTATTCACTTCGAAACCGAAATGACCAGCGCAAAGTGCTCCGTAAGTGTATCGTAAAATGAAAAATGCTCCGTGACGAGGAAAGTTTGGGAAACACTGAGCGTGGAGAGTACACGAAGTCTCGAAGCCCTCGACAGAATTACATGCCGCAGAAACTGCGCCGAGGGGTTACACGGACGGAATAAAGGCGAGCCGTTAAAAAGGAATATCGCGTTGTCGTTGTTTTCTCTCGCGCGTGCGTGAGTCGCCGTCAGCCATCCTTTGGTCCGACGTTAGGCGTCTCTCGCGAGAGGACGAGAGGCTGCGAGGGATATAAAATTCAGATTCCCATGGAGACCGTTGGAATTTACCTTCGACCGTCCTCTGTATGTTCCTTTCTCACCGCTTCGAGTTTCGTCGCGTCGAGAATGTCGGAGCGTTCGCGGACTTTCCGTCGACTCGAACCTTCTTGGTCGAGCGTAGTCTAGAATTTCTTAGCAGTCGAGAATCACTTCGAGAGGCAGTTAACTATATGCTTGAAAATTCCCGAGAATTCATTGTATTGGATTCCTATTCGATGCATCTTTATTGTTTGCTTCTTGACGTTACTTTCTGGGAACGTTTCGGTCACCTTTATATCTATTACTAGAGTGATTTGTGTGTATTTGGATGTATCGCACCTTCGTATGGATAAAATTCTTAGTCTAGAACTTTATCGTTTCTTCGCCAATGACTATTATCTTCCACAACGGAAACACATCTTTAAAATTTCAAGGAAGCTCCGCACCAAAAAGTACACCTGCTCCTCATCTCGCTGCATCGATTACACGCCAGCCAAGCGACGCAACTCGAATTGACATGCCCCCTTTCGCAAGAAAACTGGCGTCAATCAAATCATTCGCCTGGGTAGGCTGCATAAACAGTCCACGAAGCAGGTTGAAGTCTGTGACGAGTGGAACGGTGTAAACGGAAACGTCGCACGATTCGAGCTTAATTGTTCGGGACGTGAAAAACGAGTAGCGCGAAGACACAAGCGTTTCGGAGCTGGTAATCTCTTCTGTATGGGAGATTGTGCTGGCCAGGAATTGGCCAAGAACAATGAGACGAGAACAAAGGTCGGACAGGAAGGGACGTCGGACAGAGAGAGATTTCGTCGGGCCAAGACGGCAAAATGCGTGGAGCTACCTGAGAAAACGGACCACAAAGGTTTTCGCTTTTATCGGCGACGCACCGAGCGCTCCTTTATTTCCATCCACCCTGCTTCTTTCCTTCCATTCAAAGGTTCATTTCTTTCCCACCCTCTATATCTAACGTGTTCGAAAAACTTTTTCAGTCGCGGGAACCAAAGAGTCTATCTCAGGGATGGGGCCTGTATCGAAGAAATGTGGTGGTTCCAGAATCCATAACAGAGGCTTGTCCACCTGTGAATTGGGACTCCGAAACACCTAACCCGCAGTTTTGGTTCAAATGTCGAAATACGAGTATCCTCCAGATCGCCATAGCCTCAACAATGACGAAACACGACACGCGTGCACGCAAAGAGTCTGCAGCATGTTCGATGCATCATCGACTGAATCAACGCGACACCGATTACCGAGAAACGATTCGTTATCGGGGCTTCGTTAGCGGGAAAGATGCGATAATCTGTCATCGAGCGACGTGCGTAGCCTCAGGGACGATGGCGAACTATATCTCTCGTGTTGGAACGACGGCAGGTATGCGCGAGGCGTCACGCTGTCGATTGTTTAACAAACAAGGAGCTGGAAGTGCCAGCCGCCATCGAGTCCCCCGACTGAGCGCATCGATGCTCTCTACCGCGTGTCAGTGAATTAATAAAGAAGTCGAATGGATGAACACCTGGTTACGAATAACACCTATGTGACCTAGCTATGGATGAGCGAAATAGTGGATCGATTTATCCGATAGCCGTTGAAAAAGAATTAGAATTTGCATTTGTAGACTAAGATGGGAACTAGTACTTAGCAAAAGAGTAAAGGAAGGCTGAATTAGTATTCCATACATGTTTCATAGATATTGGTAGCTTCGAAAGAAAATAATTGACAGAACGTGGAGTACATAATATTGGTTTGTCCAGGAAGTTCATGTCAATTTTTAAGAAAAATTCAATGGCAAATTTTGGTACATAATTTATTAAATTACATAAGTACCATTTTTTTCCACAATATTCCACCTTTTAAGGGATGTATACATGCTATTTATTTTCAACATTTCCGATACATTCAGACCTATACCATTTAACAAAAAACGACATGGACTTTCCAGATAACCCAATATAATAATGAGCTGATAATGGAACGAGATATATCGTAATGAACGAATCAAAATATTTAACTGGAAATTTTGCCCAACTCTGGGCTGAATCAGGGCCCACGGGAAATCCTCGTCTCTCCTTTTCTGTTCCTGTACCATATATCCTGCCTCTGACAACTTGTTACGCACGCAGTCTGTCCGGACAGTAGTTTTAGCTGGCACCAGCCCCAAAGTTACAAAACGTTACCGGAACACACGCGCCCAGGGACATTCTGGTGCGGACGCAATGTGAAAAATACTGAACGTCGACACCGCGACTCTGACGAGGAGAACTGGAAAGAATGGCCCTGAATGGAATTCAGATTCAATCATCGGGATTTTTTGAAAAGATTATTTCACCATTAGCCAGGATCGCATAGAGATCATTCTCCGATAAAATTGCCATCTTTCGAACGAAGGTGGAAATAAAATATTTATATGTTCAGAGATTGATTAAGGTACTAGTAGGTTAAATAAAATCTCTGGATTCAATTCGAGAATGATTCGTTGAAAAAGGATCAGATAACACCTGCTAGGCAGGTAATAGGCCTAGATAATAGCCTAATCGCCTGGTCCTATCGCCCCTCGACATTCAGGTATTCTATTAACCCTTCGGTTCAAATAGGCATCCACAGGTGCCCTCATCCGACCACTCCTAGCAAACCATGTAGGATCTATTTCAACACTTGATAGGAACTCTGGTTTGCTCACATTCGAGGACTAAAACTGAGGGTTATCTATTCTTCTAGTTTGAAAAGGTACACGAAGGTTAACTTTGAATCCTAATCGCTAACAAACTGCAAAATAATACTCGTACCAATTTTATTTCTATTCCTATCCATCACACAAAAGCTTTATTCCTAACAAGATGGCAATTGCAACAACGATCACACACCTATCTTTATTGAAGGAACTTGTCTAAATTAAACGATAGGATTTCCAAATAAATTTTTCATTATATATCTACGCATACGTAAAGTTTATCTATGTACATATTTATAACGAAACATTTATTCGAAAACATCGAACCTATTATTTAATTTAAGGAAACTTCTTTAATAGAGGGTACGAATATGTATGAGACTGACTGTATATCTCACGTAGATTTTGGAACTCGATTCCAACTTTGAATCGCGGCACAAGTCATGCATATCCGCGACAGCATTACTATCATGGAAACGCGATGTATAGGCAAAAAGAGGCATTCTTTGCAGCTGCTTAGCTCGACACCGTGGTATGCGAAACGCTGGATCGCAATCGCGCCAAATTATCGAGGCGAGCACGTGTCGCGGCACGGTTCCAAACAGGACGGAAAATTGTGCAGGTCTCGCGTACCAACGACGGAATGTCACGACAGGGGTCGAGGAAAGGTGCAAAGTAGCTCCGTGACTGGGTCTCGTTAACGTTCAAGGATTTTCGTCGCGACGTTTTCTCACGGAAATGGGAAACGTCGGTCGACTGCGGAAAACTCGAGCCCTCGATTACGATAACAATGGCGACAGGGTTAATTGGAGGGAGCGCGCGACACCGGAGGCACGCGCTACGACGACTATTAGGGCGGTTAGACGAACGATTAGACCCACTCAACCTTTTATTAGCCCCCTGAATCAACCGCAGGGTTCTCCGTGTCTAGGACGCACAGGAAGGAAATTTATGGTATCGAGCAGCTAATTAATCGTCGCTCGTATTCTAAGTTACTATCATTTTCACCTAACCAGGTCTTGTATTATACCTTGTATTATTAGCCTCCCGGAAGAAACGACCGAGAGGTTATACCAGAAGTGACTGAATAAACTCTACTACTATGTGCCACTCTACAATACCTACTACAATCCCCCAATTTCCTCTAAGCTGTTGCATAATCAACGCAACTAATCACAAGCATAACAAAGATCATAGACTCAACCTCAACCAAACATCCTAATCTCGGTTCCTAGTTCCTCACTCATCCTGTATTTCGTACCCTTTCTGAATCATAATCTCCTTTGACCGCTGCCCTTAACATCACTCATCCTACAAATTATATAAAAGCCCGGTAAAACTCAAGAACCCGAATTCAGTGTTCACCGCCACAGTGCGGACGTAGGTGTACAAATAAAAACCTTTAAGAGTTTCTCCAAGAAACCAGTGTTGTCAGTTAATTTCTTTCGCTCGGAATCTAACAAAGGAATGCCCCAAAGACTGATAGAATCTTCGATACCTTGTGACCTAATCCATTTAATTTCAGGAGCTGGTGTTGACCACGGACGGTGACAAAAGACTGAGCCCGCACACGAGCAGGATAATGGTGAGCAACTGTTCGTCCGTGGTCCTGGCGAACTCGAGTTTAGCCTTCATGGACGAGCTGCGTTCCGTTGATCTGATTAACGTGGCGAACCTGAGCCTGGTCAGGCAGAGTTTCGAGCTCTCGCCCCGCAGCCAGCGCACGCGGATAACCGTAACGAACAGCAGCATCGACTCGATGCCCAGCTTCGTCTTCCGCGGGGACGTCGAAGCCATCAGCTTCAAGAACGTCAAGATCGGCCAGCTGAGCGCGTTCTCGTTCGCGAATCTAGTCCAAACGGACACCCTCAGGCTGGAGAACTGTCAGATCGAGAGCATGGAGGCCCAGGCCTTCAAGAAATTCGACGTGGGCTACCTGCACGTGATAGGCGGGAGCTTTGGCGACCAGGTGCCCAGCAGAACGATGAACGACATCGAGGTGTACCACAAGTTCATGCTGGACGGAGTGAAAATGGGCACTGTGAGGAGCGACGCCTTTATTGTGAGGAGTCCCCGAACGGTGGCCATTCAGAACTGCGTGGTGGAGAGTCTGGAGAGCGAGGCTTTCGACGTGACCGCGAGGGGTGCGGTGATCGTGAAGAACAACACCTTCGGGAACCTTGGCGTAGGTGGGTAGCTTGAACTGTATGCGGTCACTTGGTCCTGCTTTCAAAATTGTTGGAAGCTGTGCAGCTCCTACTTCGTCTTATCTTTAGTGTCCTTTATAAAACCTTCTCCATGGAGACCTATAGACTATGTCACTCGCTATATCCTTGAGTCTCAAAGCCTTACACTTTCAACGCAAAGTATCTATCAGAGCAACTCTTCAAATCAGAACCCCTATACTTCGTAAAAAGTACCAAGAAACATTCCTAAAAACCACTTCAACACTTTGACTTGCAGGTGCGTTCTTGGGCATCCGCGCGGACCCGGAAGGCCGCACGCCGGCTGGCTCGCTGCACGACCTGATCTTCAAGAACAACAGCGTGTCGAGCTTCGAGGAGGGCTCGATGATATTCGACCGCAGCAGCTTCCGGCTGGAGCTCGACAACCTCTTGGTGGACCAGCCGTGCGACTGTCAAATGCTGCCCATTTGGAAGAACAACATTCTGAATTACACGAACGTCTATTCGAGGTTCTACACCAGACAGAACTCGGCGTTGCCGCCTACGTTGTCGCCGCAGGAGACAATCAACGAGACACCGGAGACCTTCCTGTGCACCGACGGCGAGGTGAATGGCGTGTCGACGAGCTTCGTCGACTACGAGACGCGTCACTGCTCTCTGGGAGGATCGATATTGGTGTTCGTCCTGATCGTCGCCGGTTTGCTCGTGGTGCTGATACTGCTCACCTGCCTGATCGTCTGGTGCTGCAGGAGGCGTCGTCGCAACAGCAGGAAGAAGTGGATAAGTGTGCCGACGAACGCGCCGGACGTTGTCTCGAAGAAGAATGGAGTGATAGGCAGGGAAGCTGCAGCATCCACGGCGCCAGTCGACAGCCGGATAACGATGGTGGTGCCCGACGGAAGGCTCTACAGGGAGACGGAGTTCCACGTGATCGTCGAGAAGGCAGAGCCTCTGACCACCGAGTTGTAACGAGAACCTTCGCGCGGCTCGACTAGGTCGGTTCGCGCTCGGGTCGAAGAGGAATTCGAGCGCAGCGACTCGTCGAGCCGCTTCCGTGTGTACAAGCTATGAATCGTGAACACTGCTACGTGCGACGAAACAATGTGCACCGGTTTTTGCGAGAGTGTAATGTGAACGGTCGGGACGAGCCTGTGGCGACCAACTGGGAAGGTGGAACTCTCATCGAGAGGCTAGGGAGATCGCCTGCGTGGGCAAGGTTCCTCGAACATTTTTCACGTACTATTTACAGTTAAGCCGTAATTCGGAAACAAACAGAACGGGGGACTCGATCTCGAACTTCTTGTTTTCACTTTAACCGACTACCCTTTAATAAAAGGCAGTTCGTAAGCTTCCATTCACATATCACGAGCGAGCACCGATTATCCGTACGCGTTTCACCTTGGTCCTGCGTACGTATACAACTGCCATTTTGTTTACTTCGTGGCAGTCACGTTCCTCTGGACGATTAGCGCTATGTTCGAGAGCATATTTGTGGAATTGTTGGCAATACACAAGGAAACAAATGAGGCTTTTGGCCCCTCTATGAAATATTTGAAAATTACAGAATAAGGGGGCGGGGTATACGCGAGCAGTCTCTGCAGGCATATAGCGTCGCTGCTAGCGAAACACAAATTTGTAAACATCGACGATGAAACTTTCTCGAAGAAATCGAATCTTATTAATGTACCTATGTATCGAATAATAACAAGCAAAAATCCTCGACGACGTACCAACATTTCCTGCGACACTTTATGAACTTGATAACAGCGATTAGGTTCGATAGCCTATAAGTAAAAGCGTAATTAGCCACCCTGTTGATGAAATTCTCTGCCAATGTTTACGTTTTTTGGAAACATTCTTCAGTTACTGGAGAAAATGCTGTACTAATGCTTCACATATTGATAACTACCAACTTATGCATATAGAACGACTCGATAGTGACGTAAACTTACGTCGACGATAGCCAGCTATAGACTTAACCCTGACGTAAAGTCACGTCAGTGACAGCCAGCTGCGGATCTACCAGTGACGTAATATTACGTATTAAGAGTGTTTTTTATCGCGATGGCGGTTCATGTGCGACGGATGATTGGTGCGCGCTGTTAGTCAAGTTTATCGTTAAGCAGCTTTCGAGGCAGGGCCAGTGTCGTTCGTGAAGATTGAAATGAAATTCATGGAATCGACGAAGAGCGAGTGGGAAGTGATCCTGGGTAGGGGAGAAGGATCGAAAGCAACAACAGGAAATCCTAAACTCGCTGACTCGTGTAAGATACGCGATTGGATCGACCTTTCGCGCTACGTTGCTTTAAGTTTATCAATCGATAGCACGCTTATCGGCGTACCGTCGCGAGAGTTGATCAACGTTTCAAGCGTTCCACGAGAAGAACTATTTAGCTCCCATGTTTGGATCGAATTCGATAGCCAGATCGAGGCCATAGAAATGATTCTTGCGAAGAATCTGAATCAAAATGAGTGGAACAAAATTTGATGAAAAAATTGATTGCGGAAAGATAGATTTTCTAGAAAATAGGTTCGGAAAGAAGCGTGACTGCACATTGCAAGTGGAAGCAACAGAGCGGGGGTGACGACGCGATGGCCTTGACTGGACAATTAATTATGTCTCGACTCTAGCAACGATCGCACGTCCGCTCGGAAAGCAGTGCCATTCCTATACAAACGTGTGCCAGTTCGTGCACACTTGGTTCGATGCGAAGTTAGATTTTTCGAAGAAGAAACGAAGCAGAAGGCACTCAGAAATGGGCACAATTCTTGTCTACATACAACTCTCGAATAACGAATGAAAGATGAACTCTATCTGCAATTGAGGGGATCGAGAATCGTGGTGGTGTTTGTCAGGCACGACATATTTTGAAATAGTCATTCTTTCTGGTTAAACTTTTGAAGAAATTCACCTTTTTTCTGCATTTCTAGCCTTCTTTGATTCTGCCATGAAATCGTGGTATAACTCAATTATATTTATTTACACCAGGTGATTTTCAACTCCTCGATTTCTGCAACGAGCATCATGTAGAACTTTAATAGTAGAATGCAGCTCTATTTCATGATAAAAGATATGAATGCATGTTGATTTATGGCATCCATTATTCAAACAGAATTTCGCCCATCTCTAAAGGCAGACTACCAGTGAGTCGTCGATAAGTGTCGCGTAGTCAAGACCATGCCTCGACACTTATCGACGATTCATGGTATTCTGGGGACTCCGAAGCGAGCGGAGAACCGAACGGTTCGACTTCGATAGCGTTTCTCGTTCCGAGATATTGTAACACAATAAAAATATTACCCCCACATTCCTCGACGATACGGACACGAAATACTTCAGCAGAGAAATGATAGCGTGTCGAATAGAAATCAGATATTTTTCGTGCCATTCGCGGAAACGATTTCGTTCGAAAGCAACGACAAAAGGGCGACTCGAGCTTTCGCGAAGCGCCACGGGAGCCGTTGATTTACTGTATTATTTTGTTACTGCGTTTATTTATGACCTCTGGACATCGCCAATAAATTGTTGTTATTGTTATCAGTGTGATCGGCAACTAATTTTGACGAACGCGACGGCGGGTCACCGCGGAACGCGTATCGATTTAGTTCACGTCCCCGTTAATCTCGAAACGGATCCCCGAGTAATGCGGCCGTTCAACGTAAAACCGTCACCGAGTACCGACGCTATCGCTGACCATTAGTCCACGTTTTGACCCTCTATCGCATAATGTGCCACGCCGGGAGCACAATAAAAACAATCCCTGTATATCGATGCACGGAACGCTGATGGGTCATTCGAGCGAGCAATGCACCGCTAGGCGCCATTTTTTCTCCTTCGCGATCAATCAAAATTACGAGAGTAGAATCTATCGGAGCAATTTGTATTAAAAATGTAATCACATCTCTGGAACTCTAATCAGAAATTGTGGGGACACGAGCATCGGTGGAAGATTACGGAAATGAACATTTGGCGATTCGTCAATGATGGTGGACTGGTAAGATTAACTTAGCAATCATAAGTTTCATTCAGGAAATTTTGCAGAATTTGCGAAAGATTTTTTTATGGAGGCATCTAGTTGTTTTAGGAATTTAACTTCTTATCGTTCAGTTCGGGCTTGAAGTAACACCCTTCTGGTACTATTTAATTTGTGACTGTGGATACTATAGCCCAACCTACCTTTCTACGACTTCAAAGAACACTATATACGTACAGCATCAAGAAATTCTTTCTCATTCGAAGAATAAACTAACATCGACGCGACAGAGAAAAAGAACGAGTCAAGAATCACGTTTTCCAATGATTAATGAACCCGATCGTCGCGGAATTCCGCGAGCGGAAGGTAGGCTTATTTGGAATTCGAGCAACGAGGAAACAGCTCCGACGGTTGAACGACTGTTTGCGAAAGCGGCGATTCGTTTCAGTATTACCACCGAGCTGGCCGTTTTGCGTTTTAAAAGTACAATGGGAGCACCGTAAGCGATGCTTTTGTCCCGGCGTGTGCAGTCATCTCCCGCACGTGTGAGCCATGCATTATTGATGCTGCCGCACTTGCCCCTGTAACGACTTTCGCGACGTTGTTTCGCTTTAACCCCGAAGCAGCGGGTGGAAATTGGTCCGCGGAGCTTTCGAAATGATTCGGCGACATTTGATAATATTCGAGCAATTTAATACGTAAGAACCTAACGAGAAGTTGGTATAGAAGCGTCAAGTAGTTCCTCGTTATAACGACAGTTCAGCGAGCAACTGGTAATGAGAATGATCAGTTTTATATTTTTCAAGGTGTTCGTATGAAACTGTTACCAATGGATTGGTGGGGTCTTTTCGGTGAAAATGAGTCCAAACATGAATCCTGAGGATCAAATCGCTATCTTACCTCGATATAAGAACACCAACTAGTGACGTTATATCGAGTTATTTCTATATATACACCCTCCGAAGGTGGATAGCCTTGCTTTTCCAAAAAATATAAATGGGATCCTCATAGAACCTCCAGCTCAGAGGCTTAAGAAATTCAACAACTTTCTCAAAAATCGATTCAGAATCGAGCGTTTCCACCTTGGATCGTGTCAAGGTGAGCCTAATTAACGCTCCCGTGCGAAACGAACCCCGACTATCACCCAATACAAGCGAACGCGACCAGTGAGTACAAACTGTGTATACGTGTACAATTACCGTACTTTGGCGACGAATTAAATTATGCAACGACGGTTTAGTCGCAATTATCGTGATACTGTGATATAACAACAGCCGACTGTATAATTTGTTTTACATTGAACGCCGTGACCATCGATGAAAGGGAGAGAATAAAGACGTAGCTGATACGCAGACAACGAGCACCGATTCAATGTCCAATCGATATTCTCAAAATATATCCCTTCCTAGCTTCCTGTATATCTCTCTTGTCCCCCTATATGCATCCACATAAATATGCAATATAAATATGAATAATATGCGTTGTATTTACGTCAAAGTTCACGATACTTCACTGTGTGGATCGATGGCTATTTTCGACGAAACGCGAAAGCAAACTTAACCGTTATACGCAAATCACGCTTTGGAATTGTAAACAGTTTATAATCGGCGGTGAAACAGAATTTTGTTTCGATATATTATTCTTTTTTCTAAATGGATGTTGGGGTCTTTAAAAGGTAATCTAAACCTTTCTAGATATTAAAAAATGGTTCAAATAACTGTAATTCATTCGAAAACGTTTCTTGGATCTAGATAACGCGTAATAAATCAAGATAAAACCCTAATTCATAAGAGATTCTGAAAACTAGGTCAAACGGTAGCTCTTTTATCAGCGAAGACAGCAAAAAGTTAATGATACTAAAAAGGAATTCTGTGTGATAAGATTCAATTAATTAATTAATTAAGAAGTAACATTTAGCGATCAAGCTAATTTCAGTATCCTGTTACCAATAAAAACGCCAGTTCCTTTTTAGTTTCATTCCTTTACCGACAACTGGTTGTGCAGAATCGAGCAGTATAATTAGCTACTTACCTGAATGGAAGAACGCCATCGAGAGCCTGGGAGACGGTAGGGGGTGACGCCAAGGCGAATCCTCGTCCAAGTAGCGTTGAATGAACGGAGAAAATCCTCTTTGCTGTTTCTTGCATCAACTCCAAATCCTCTTCTACTTCTTCATCTGCAAAGGCATAAACAGGCTCATTAAATGCCGAAACAAACATTAAGCGTAAATATGCACTTTCAAGTATACAATTCGAATCATTTCACAGGGGAAGAAGACATTCATTAAAAAAAAAAAAAAAAAAAAAAAAAAAACTGACGCGTTTTAAACAAAAATATTTAATAGAAATAATATATACGTACTAGACACAGGTGGTAACGCGAGGTTCTTCTTTATGAGACTCGCAGCACAAGCTCCGCCAAGGAATGATAATTCAGTTTCCAAATTTTTCAAACCATTCCCCGACGTTATCCAATCGTATCCGATAACCAAGCACTTAAATCCGTACGTAACTGCTCTCTCATTTTTCATGTAATCCGACGCAGTTTCCAACGAGAATATTACTTCGTTCCCTGTAACAATGAATAAGTTGGTTTATTAAAATGTCGATTACATCACTTGCACCATTTCGCAGAGAAACAACGATTTACCAGGTAATACGACCGCGTTTTGAGGCCACAGATTTTGCACATTGCTCAGCTTGTGTAGCACGGGCCAATGTAAAGGCGTATCTTCTAGCGATGCATTCACGTTTGTCCTAAGAGTACATCAAAATAAATAGAAAGCATTTTAAGAGACTTCGATTGAAATTTAATTAATCCTATTTACCCTGTCAGGGAATTTGAAATTATATTGGGAATGTAGAGTTGCAAATAATCCTCCGGCTGGGCGGTACCACACTCCGGAGTGAATTCAATGGTTAACCATTTAACTGTATCCGGGAAGGTAACTTTGTAATGGGATACCGTAGCAGGTTTATAAGGGTGATCGCTTTCCAACCACGCGTAATGATGACTAGTGGTGATGGGTGGCGAAACGTGGGATTGAACTTCGCCATCTTGAGATATTTGGGATGATCCCATCGTAGATAGTAAATTAAGTGCCGCGACATGGGGAAGCATCTCTTGTATCAAAGTAAGAACCTGTACTCCACTCTAGAAAAAAAAATAATTGATTTAAAATCGCTAATTTAAAAAGACGGCAAATGATTACGCTACAACTTAATACAGGAAATATACAAAAAGATGGTTCCTCACTCGGGGATCTGACGTGGCTAAAGGACTAATATGAGCCATGACCAATGGTAAGAGGGTTGTCACGAATGTCGCATTCCCGAGTACTTCGGTGGCTACCACTTCTTCTGCCCTCTCTCTTGCTAATGCGAGAATTTCGTTGGACCGTTGAATAATCGTGGCAGTCATAGCAAGGGTACACTTCCTTGCCTGCACTTCAGCCATCGCCTTGCTTGTGTGTTGACCGTCAGAATCTTGAGGGTTTGAGTAATAGAGGATGTGCGGTATTTGACCTCTGGTTTGCGTTGTACCATTAAAGCTCAAGGAACAAGCCGTGAAAGTAAAAGTTGTTCCGTCTGATCCTTTGACAACGCTCAGGCCGCCGTCGCCATTACTTGTACGCCCACCGCGGTTTCTCAATCTAATGGCGTACTTCACGTTTTCCTTGATGGGCACGGGTTTATCAAACTTTAATTCTACTATGTCATTAACGCAATCATCCGGTCCAAAAGATCCGCGTGTAAAATCCAAACTACTCCAACGTTGAGTGTGAGACGGATCGTTGCCTGTGTTATTTTGCTATAGAATACGATGACGTTTGATAACATTGGTACTCACTGACACTTAAAAATTTAACAAATAGTAGTACTCACATCATCGAGTAGCTCCAATTCATAATCATACACTCCAACACCTCCGTAGATGCCCACTCCAGCAATAACAATACCAGGTCGATCGACCGAAAAGCATATTGCATCTGGTGAACCGTTGCCAGTGTTCCACGATCTTGTTTGATTCACTCGGGTGAATCTTGAAGGCGTGGTGTAGATAAGTCTGCCGCAAGCAGCTTGGAGTTCGTCTTCATTTCCACTCGACTGTGCCGCTAACTCGGCGATGACACGTGCCAATAAATAACAGCAATGAAGAATCAACTCTGGCAGTGATTGAGTCTTCTCTCTGCAAAGACTTTTCTTCACAGGGACTAGGATCAGATCTAAAAGTCTGTCGAGGACATCGCGAAACGTCCAATTTATGCTCTCTTTGCCAGAACTTTCCACCTGAGACTTGTAACTGATCTGCTCAACCAAAATTGGATACTGATGATTTTCAGTCGAGTTTATCATTAGTAAGCCGGTATTGTCGGATGGACTAAGTTGTCGATTTATGCTGTCGCTATTATCCATAATATTATTTAAAATTGGAAATGTACATCGAAGACGGATAGCAGGATTGCACAAAGAAGCCAGCACGGCCGATAGGAGCCTATCCTTTGTAGTCCTCCCTTGTTCCTGCGATGTACCGCGAATTATAAATTAAATCTAATGTTTTTTATTTAGAGAATTGTTAGAGATACTTACTCTATCAATTTCAGACAACAATTCGCACAGACACGTCCACTTTAAATATGCTGTAGGATAAAATGCATGGTAACAAGCGACAAACGTTCTATGGCACTCGTCTAATATGCTATTCGGCATCTTATTCTGTATGGCACCCGAACCTATTTAACATTATTTACATATTACACTCGCGACACAAGACATGCTTCGAAATAGAATACACTAAAATCTGTAACAACTCACTTTTGTTAAAACGCATTTTTCCTTTACTTTTTGTATTGAATGGCACAGTATCGGATAAAATTTGATGCAACAATGCACGAACTTCGCCTATACATTCAGCTAGGCGCACCGACTCGGCCGGGGTTTTTTTGCCGACTGCAAATTATTACCAATATTATATTGAAAGATAACCCAACATTTGGAAAAAAGTTGGTCACGTACCTTGATTCGGATAAATTTCGCTGGTGTAAGTTCTAAGTAACCGTAAACTAGCTTTACTAATATAAACTAAACGTTCCATTTCAAGTAATGCGTGAGACGAAGAAGTGGCATGAGACATGGTATCGCTTAGTGCTGCTTTTAATGTATTCCAACTCCACTGAAGAAGGGATATCAATGACTGAAAACATTCCTGGAAAGGGATATATTACAAAAAATGATGTTCCGCGGGTTTCTATCGTGTGTAACTAGAGCAAAAATAAATACATACTTTGGTGACCGTTCTACTGAAATCTCTTTTTAACACGTATACCGGCTCAATTTGATCCCTTTGCCTATTAGGAGTTTGATTTTCGGGTGTGACAACTCGGTACAATAATTGAGGAATTTGGCCAGCATTCACATCCGTTCCATTATTGGATCTTTTCGAAGATTTAAAATAAAACATAACTCTAAAAAGAATTATGCGGATTATAATTTATTTTAAATTTCGTTAAATTCTAATAAAAATAAATAATTGACTAACTGATCTTCGGCTGTGACCATTCCTTGACCACCAGATCCGCAGTCACTAGAAGGGCCACTGACTTTGGCCCACGCAACATACCACCTGTTTGCTTGCAACGGAACTGGTTCGTCAAATAAAATAGAATATTTTTGTCTTGATCCACATTCGTACGGTATTTCTTCAGATTCTGCCAAAAGTTCGCCATCATTTTCTTGATCCCCTCCATCCATACCAATGTCAAAGAGCTGCAATAATTTTGAAGCTATAACACTTATCGCCACTTCGAATCACTTCTTGAGATTCGAGCGTAAAAGAAGTGTTTACTTTTATTTTTGCTGTATATTCTCCACGACCTCCGAACAAACCGTATCCGCCAAGTAAAATGTCAGTATAGGGCATAAATCTGATAGCCTCGATCGAATGAGCAGAGTAACCCCAACCACCACCATGACCTAAAAATATATGCAAATACTCGCTAATAAAAGTATCTAAATATATGTACTTTTTCATCATCTTTATACGCACTTTCGAATCTATTAACCGTAACAAAGTCTTCGCGACTGTATACTTTGCCATGCGTTGCTTGATTGCATTCGTTCTCTTCGATTATAGACAAATTTTCATCTTGTGATTGCGTGAGGGTGTCCAAGCAACCCAATAAATGCATCGCAGCTTGAGAACGCGTTACGAAACAATTCGATACTACAGGCAGTGCCAAACCTGGACTTAGGATGGAAACTTCCAAACCAGGAATCGTTCTAATTTCCGTTGATATAATATTATATAAACTTATTTCATTATTAGTCGGATTAAAAGTCCAAATTACGTTATACAAAGGATCTAAACATGCTGCGCAATTATTGAAGTCAACTTGATCTGTCCCGCTGTAACTATTACAAGTGCCATCCCTTTTGCTTATGACTAAACATTTGAACGAATTCGCTTGATCGTTTTGATGTGGAATTAATACTGAAACAATTTTGTTACAATTAAGCACACTTGCCATATATTAGTGGTGGAGCGACAATTTTAAAAAGAAGAACATACTTATGCAGTTTTTATTTGCCATAACAGTACTCCTTGTTAAACTAATAGAATTTATTTCATCAATTTTAACATAAGTCTGATCTCCAGTTGCGCCGACCCACGTTGCCCGCCTACCCCACCGTGGACCGATATTTGGAACTATGTTTGGAAAACTATGCCATGGCTGCGTCCTATCAGAACGACGACTACCTTGGGAATTGGTATTTGAGGATTCGTTTTGACCATTCCACCAATTCATACCTAATTGTCCTTTCTGTGTATAAGAGGAGCAAGTATAAAAACATTATAATTGAACACCACTGCCAATTAAATTTGAAGAACGATACGAACTTGGTAAGCTCCAAACGTAAATACTTCGCCCTTTGATGTAAGTACAACAGTATGATTACTTCCAGCGGCAACCTGTGTAGCTATGCCTGATAATTTAACATGAACTGGTCCAGCGTGTGCTATTAAATCTCCCACACCTAACTGGCCATATACGTTACTTCCAAATGTATAAACTTCGCCATTTTGTAAGAGTACCACTATATATCATATATGACACAATTATTGAAGGATATTTTATACATCGGTTAAGATGTGAACGTAACCTCTGTACATTACCTGTGTGATGCAAGCCGCACGATACTTGAACCACGGGACTTTCGCTGGGTATAGGAACTCTAGCTGGTGGTATACTAGCAATTCTTGCCGCGTCCCCTCGTTCTATATCGCTTCCTCCAACGCCTTCTTCGGGCATTAAATTACTACTCAATCCTAACGCCATTTTCCCAGGACAACTTTTTTGTGCCACACTTGGTCCAGCTTTTTAGTAAAAAAATTTATTGTTACATTAAATTTCACACAACTACATTTAATTTTTGTATATATATATATATACACGGTACACCTATTTTACGAAGACATCTACCCAATCTTTGATTATTCGGACCTTTCATCTTCATTCCATACTTTGCAGTGCTTGGACCTGCCTTGGTTCTCTGTCTCAGCTTTATTTCTCCCAACCGTCTTTGTAAACATTCCCGAAAATTTGAACTTATTCTACCTAAAGTATGAAAATAACATGTAAGAAAGTTAGCAACAATTGTTTAATAACAATTTAGGCTTTAATTGTTACCATTAGTAGAACTTTTGCTCGCGCAAGTGCGACAACATCCACATTCCGCACATCCACTGTCACCTCCACCGCATCCACATTCCCTGAAAATCCGCAGTTTTAACCTCTCGTACTATGCGAAACGTGCTAGCGATACTTACTGGCCTGGGTTGCGATCTGGACGTACACCACTCAAGCACGATATACTATACCCAGTACATTCTCGACATATTGTGCAAACCATACAGGCGCGGTGCCGCCATTGATGTTGTCCTGGAGGACACATCCTTCTTGTTTCTTCCCAATCTTCAGCAGGCTCCGCACCATCTAAGTATAAATAATAGTGTTGAGTCTTCGTATCGGATACATAAATGAAAGCTATCCCGGGTCTAAATACCTTCTTCTGTTACTAAGAGTTCATCTTCTGCTGTACCCATTTCCATAGCAACCACTGTGGTATCTTTATTAATAGTATGAACTGTTGTGAAATCTCTACCGCACTGTCCTTTATTGTTGATACCAAATGTATATAAATGACCTTTGTTAGTCAATACGGCGGCGTGAGCTTTTCCTAACGAAACGTGAACGCAACAGACATCTTTGAGATCGGTAACTATTCCAGAAACTGGATCACTGTGCAAAGTATCTTTGCCAAACATTAACAAGGATCCTTCTTTTGTGACTAAAGCTGTCGAGCCATTATTACAGGCAGCATCCACAATAAACTGACCATCTACTTTTGCTATCTTTTTTGGTTTAACTGGCTTAGGTTGTCGCCGAACTTTGTCTAATGAAAATTAAGCATTATTATTAAGAATATTTCTGACAACTTTTTATGTTATAAACCCGTAATATACTTACTACTATCGCCATCTTCTCCGCGTCTGGCTGTTCCAGCAAACAAAACTGAACCATCTTCCAGGATCATAACGACATGTTGACCGTCATGACCGGCTGCAAAATTGACAAGTCTTGGGCCTTTTCCAATGGTCAATTCTACCCATCTATTAGGCCTTGTGTTACTTTTCATCCCAAGAGAGGTTCCTTTTCCACTATATAGTACCTTCAAAATATAACATAACGTGTATTTGACATATTGATCAAATTTTAAACAAATTTAAGAGTTTGCTATTTACTTTTCCAGATACTGTTTTTAATACAGCAAATTCTTTTCCTGCTGTAACGGTTGCAATTTCATCATCACAGCCCGGATTTAATGCGTGAACAACTTGTTCTTCATCGAAAGCAGCATATCCGAAAACATCTACGCATTTTCTGGCTAGTTTTAATGGCAACTCTGATGCGACTGTCACTGGATTACTTAATGTGTTTATTGTTCTAACTACAAAACCATCCTGGGGAAAATAAGTAAAAATTTATATCAGTTACGGAAATATTAAAAATGTTAATTAATTAATAATATTAATTACTGACGTCTTTTCCAGCTGTTATCATTCCTAAACATTCACCATCAGAAAACATAACAGAAGATGACCAATCGCGACCTTCTAATACAGCAATTCCCGTGACTACAAGAGTTTCAGCATCAATAATTAGTAATTCACTCTGTTTTCTGGGTGTACATTTAAAATATAATGTATTCTAAAAAGTAAAAAATTTAATATTAGAAAACCATTTTTTTAGGTTTGGGTACTCAAAAACAGCCGTTAACTAACATTTGCGTATCCAAGCCAACCCGTTTCTGTTGGGTAAAAGTCTGCCTTCTGAATGTACATATGACCCCATATAGTTCCACCATGACCACTACCAATCTTCAATAATCCTCTACTTGTGTGTAGGTATAGGTACTTTCCATCGCTCACAAAACTTCTTCCATTCAGTATTATATTATTTATTTCATTTGGTAACTTAAGCGTAGAAGTATAAATCTTAGAACATTTAGGAACTCCATATGTAATCCAGTCTGGTCGCGCAAGTTTTCCGAGTAAAACTGCTTGTACGCTTCTTTGTAAAGATGTCAACACACATGGCATCTATGTTGTACAAATTGAAATTTCAAGTAACAGAAAGATGAAATACATTATCACGAGCTATGAAGAATACTTACTTGGATATTTTGAACTGCTAATGCTCTGGGACACATAAGTAAAGCAGCTGTTGCTGCCAACAAACGACCAGTGTCACCTCTAACAACCACAAGGCTCAATAAACAGGCACAGGCAACAGCAGTCAAGTGACTACCATCGTTGGCTGCTGCTGATTCAGGGCCATGTGAAGTTGCAAGATCCAATAGCAGATCAAAAAGGGGATCTACAAGAAAAAGAAAAATGCAAAAGATAGAGAACATACTCAAAATAATGATTTTATATACCTTACCAATAACATCATCAGGTTCAGATTTGAGGCCTTCAGGAAGTTGTCCTTGTAATACATCCAGTAAAGCCGATAGTGCTTTTGTACATAAAAGAGGTTCAATTGTTCTACTTTCCCGCATTAATGTGAACACACTTCTTAAACCAATACCTACAATCTGAAAACATTTGGATTTCAACACAATTCGTATTATATATAATAAACACTTTTTTTTATTACCTTTGGTAAGCTCTGTATAGTTGATATCCTATCTTCATCATCACTTTCCGTATCAATAGTTTCACTAAGCTCCGGTGGTGGAGAATTGCAGTTCGATGCTCTATAAACTTCGGTTGTTGTCTTAGCATACCTTTCCAAAATAGCATTTCTAACACTAGCAAATACAGCAAATGCAGAGGCATTGCAAGATAATTCTATTTCTGGTGGATTATTAAAATTCAAGTCCCCGTTTAAATCAATCTATAAGCATTGAAGATATTAGTTGAATCATATTACAAAGACTATACAAAAGTATGGACAATAAATAATACCTTTTTCCTGTCCCTCTTCCTTATAGATTTATTTTTTTTACATTTTCTCCACTCTTCTTTATTTCTAAAAATGGAAACATATACTCTAATATTTTTAATTTCCATAATATAATAAAAACTGTTAAGTTTACAAATTTTTAAAAATGTTCAACATATTCACGTTTACAAAAATAAACATTATGACAGGAACAAATTTTTTTACAATTACAAAACATAATATTAGTGCCTTAATACTACGTTTTAACAGATTTCTACGTTAATTAAACACAAATAACTGTAAATATTAAACGTAACATGTTCGTAAAGTCGGTCTCTTATTTACAGGAGAACTGTCAAACTGACAATCAGAGGGCAACTTTAATAAACAAACTATTTTAGGTTACTTTGAAAACTTGAGACATTTATCGCGTATTCCAATGGTTTCGTGATTTTAATCAACATATTGTGTAACAATAAAAATATGTTATTGAATTTTTTATCATAACTATGCAGTTTGATATGTGACAGATGAAGTCACCGCCAAAAGCATCAAGTAAACAAAGCTTGAAGGAGGTTATACGCGTTTCGCACCTCTGTGCCTCGGCGATGCTTTTAAACAGATCATAAAAACATTTCACGTAATTCTCCGGCTCGGGCAGCAATCTCTCGTGGTCCCCAGACACCATGTTGTGCACAAAATTTTCAATGTACGAATCACCAATTCATTTTCGTAATACTATTGATCGTTGACATTATCCTGCCTTCCCCATGTGATCGCATCGCACGGTTTATAAAAAGGGCCATTCAATGATTTGTATCAAAGTGTTTATTAATTTGACCTGCGGTTTCAAATTCACAGGCAACAGACAACTTAATAGCGTATTAATTTTCGAATATTCGAAAACGGCCAAATATCCGTCTTTGATGTATGTTAAGAAATTCGTCTTGAAAGTACCAGACGGACCGCGACTGGCTTGCGATTTCGACTCTTTCGATATATGGCTGATTCTCAAAAAAGATAGAAATTTTTGTCCAGCTGATTTTTGTCGTTTAGTTAGATTTTGTTATGAAACTACATCACCAAGCATAACAAATTATGAAATAGGTTTATCTTTTTTGAATAAATAAAAAAATATATGTTCAAGGAAATACCCTAAAAATCATTCCTTCATTGTGTCCCAACTGACAATTCGAAAAGTTTCTTACAAATTGTCATAATAGTACTGGCTATACAAATATGTGTATATAGTTCAAAAACGATAAACGAAAAAATCACAAAATATATCATTCCCTCGCATTTCATTTTCATAACAATGGAATTAGAGCATAATTTTAAATTATTTTTTGGTTTTAGAAGGTGGCAATATGGCAATACTGACAGCACATAACATACTAGACTGAGTGATACGATGTTTTGATAAAACTTTTTCAAATTTACATTTTTGGCTGTCATTCCCAAACATTGTGTTCCAGAAGGGTAAGCGTTTATCTACGAACCATGCATCATATAATTGTATGTGTTTCGAGGAGTAAAATGAAGTATCGTACAATCGCATGCAAAAGTAAGGTTATGTGTTTAACTTTTCTCCAGTGTTGCCAACCAGTACAGAACGATTGCTCTTGAAGCAGGTTAAAAAACCCCTAAATTTTATTTAAAATTTTGTTTATCAATTACGAACAGAAATGTGTGTGCATCTGTGTGTAGTTAGGCCCTAACCCAAAAATCCCACTAAAAAATGTAATCCCCTTAAAAAAACCCGTTCATACATTTTCGCCCTAAATCTAGGGGGGAAACATACAAAAAAAAACTAGATAAAAATGGAGGAATTAGACAAGTAACAATGAAGTTGAAAACCCGCAAAGAAAAGTAAATTATAAAAAGACTCATAAATTATATTAGTTTGGTAGAGGAGCCATTTATGTTTCTTAAAATGAATTTAACTAATTTACTAAGATTAATTTTAAATACATATGACTGTGATGAATAAATATTTTTAGTACGTAACAATTAAATATATAATTTTCGATTGATAAGTATATTTTCAGCAATAAAAAATGTAAATTGATATATTACGAAGTGTTTGCTTTTTTAAATATGAATAAAAATCGTTCCCTCAATTTTGAATTTTACTTTTTAACTTCCTCACCCCCTTTTAAACTCAAAACGGTTGGAGACCACTATGACATTCCAGGCAAGTAACTCATGTACTATTGAATTTACGAAAAAAATCTTAATAAAGTAATTTTTATATATTTTTTTTTTTAGAATCAGCCATATATTGTCATTTCAACGCAAATTACCATTCGATATAGCGGTCATACTTCAAATTAACTTTGTATAACATTCATGATTATATTAATTATAAGTACGAATCTAAAAATGACATATGTATAAAAATAGTTACAAATCAGAAGTTTGTTCATCGTTATACATGTCAATATAAAATGATGCACTTCGTGAATTTCAGGGGTATTTCTACAATGATGCTACGCGATTTTCTTTTATATTTGTTATATACTGAGATGCATAACAATACATAAATACAGAATACGAAAAACATGATATCATTGAAAATATGTAAATATTTCCTTATTCCTGAAACAAAAGTCCTAGTAATATTTATGTAAAATATAACTTACAAAATTTATTTTATTTTGTATGTATATTCTTATCAGTATTTTCTATGGTACTTCTGCAATTTATCTGTTTCTGAAGTACGTGTATCATTCTACTAAACCTTTATTAGTTAGACCTTTATAACATCTGTACGATGCTCGTGTCATACAAATTTATGCACATACGAAAATCTGTGAGAATATTTGCGAAGCAATGAAGTGATTTTCCAATTACATAATTTAACATTTATTATGTTAATTAAACGAATGCTAAAACCAAAACGTATGCTGACGCACAAATGTTTATCTTATGTATGATTTAAGTTTAATCAGGGTACGTAAAAGTTAGTATAGTGCGCGTATCCTGCTATGCTGAGATTACTGTTTTAAAGAATATCACGACCATAACCTAAAAGATACGATTCAAAACGTGTAATCACATTTGAAATTGTATTTTATTTACAATAAAAGTAACATGGATACGATTTTCGAAATTACCGCATCAAATACATAATCTAAAAAAGTTGATAAAGAACAAAATAATAGGGTTCAGCTTTTATAAAAACATAACCAAATAGCAGCTTTCAAGCAAGTATGTAATATTCACGTACATGACCCAATAAATTGTTTAAAAGATTGTTATTAATCTTTTTCCGTTTACAGATTGACTATCACAACAAATATATAGTCTTAACTGTAAGCTGATTTTTAATTCTTGTATATTTTTGGTGAAATTGCATTTATCTATGTATTTGAAAGGAATGAAAAGGAAAACAAGAATGTGAATATAAATTTTAATTAAATATGTTAAAGAAGCATGTCTGTTTGTGACATAGCTTTAGTGCATACTGCATCCAAGCTTACTATGTATATTAGACTCCAATGCTTCTAGTTGCACATACATATGTAAAATAACATATACAATAATATTGTTCTTCTTAAATATGAATTACTTTTGATCCCATTAAATGCAATATTTAATAATACACATGTCAATTGTGTCAATATCATTTAGAAAATATATATGATACAAAGCCTTTGAAAGTATTGTCATAAAATTGTGGGAATGGGCAATTGTCTGGGTAAAGATACTCCAGAAGAACATGAGGCATATAGTAGACATAATCGTGCATATGCTCAAAATACTGTGTTATCAGAATCAAGTATAGGTACAGTTTCATCCAGTGATATGACTGCTACGCCTTTCAAATTTCCAACTTCATTTAACATTGATAAGTTGGTACTAGAGACACTAGGAATTCTTGGCTCTCTCGTTGATAAGTGAGTGTTGCAAATTGTAAACCTTTTCTTGTACAAATTTGTACATGTGCCATTATTGAATTTAGTACCTTACGTTTAAAATTTAACTATTATTATAAAATGTTCATATACTTATTTCTAGTGAGCAAGGACCACCACCTGTAATGTTAAAATTACATGCAATTGCTGATAAAGAAGATGGGTGGATACAAGTAGTCAGTTCAATGGTTAATGTTATTCCTATGCATAACCCATTGGGTCCTTCAGTTATTACACTTTTATTAGATGATTGTCCATTGCCTTCAAAGGTAAAAATACATTTTAATACTTTATAAAATGCATATAACAGCATTCATATAATCATCTTAATTTTTTAGGTTTCTGTTCTACTACTATCACATATGTTTCAATTATCACAAAAACTTGGAAATGTACAAACCAGTGCAACTCAGCAACGTAATATCTGTGTAGTATTGGGTTGGATAGCAGAAAAATTAGCTGGTCCTACTAGCATTGCAATATTATCTGATGCAACTTTAAATTATCTCATCTCAAATCTTGTATGTTTATTATGTTGCCATAATCATGAGGAAAAGATTATCATTTAAGAATTCACTTTAATTCTAAATTTATACATGATTTCAGAGAGAAAATGTTGAGCCTTATGTCGTATTATTTTCACTAATAGCTTTAGAAAAGTTTGCACAAACAAGTGAGTATTAATCATACTAAACTGTACAAACATCTTAGACAATAATATTAATACATTGTAAGCTACAATACTTTGAATATATTGCTAGGTGAAAATAAAATAACTATCACGAAACGTTTAATGGTGGAGAAATCAAATCCATTATTAGAACTGGAGAAATGGACAACAGAATTTCATTATGTACGGCGCCAAGTGAGTTTCTGTGCACAGTGGTGTCTAGATAACTTATGTGAGTGTTATAAATGTTCAATATACGTGACAATAAAAGATCTAAATAGTATAAGGTAAAAATTAAATAAACGTCTTTATTATTTCAGTTTTAATGGAAGGTAGAAAGTATTCTCACGATACAGTTGATATGAGCGGTATAAATGTTATGTTGAACACAAGAGATAGCGAGTACCTGAAAATATCACCCAATGGTTTAGAAGTAAGTTTGTTCTGTTTATGTGCTTTATTACAAGATACGTATATTGTATAATTCATCGCTATTATTCTTATTTAAATCTTAGGCGCGAAATGATGCACATACGTTTGAGAGCGTACGATGCACATTTCAAGTAGATTCAGGCATTTGGTACTATGAAACACTTGTAATAAGTACAGGAGTGATGCAAATTGGATGGGCCACGAAAGATAGCACATTCTTAAATCATGTAAAATTTTATATATTTTACTTGATGTATACGACTAAAATGTACAAAAGCAACAGTTTAATTTATTCTATTTTAATATTTTAGGAAGGGTATGGTATAGGTGATGATGAATTTTCTTTGGCCTATGATGGTTGTCGTAGATTGATTTGGTATAATGCAAAGAGTGAGCAATGTTACGAAAGACCATGTTGGAGAGCTGGTGACATTTTGGGTTGTTTATTAGATTTGAACAAATTAGAGATAATATTTTCTATAAATGGTGTACCACTCAAACCATGTGTCCAAGTTTTCAAAACAGTGAGGTTATGTATTTTTGCTTGTCTATATTAATATAATGCGATCAAAATGGCGACGGAAATAATCAATTTATATTATAAATGTTGTAGGTCTGGATTTTTTGCAGCAGCTAGTTTCATGTCATTCCAGCAATGTCTTTTTAATTTTGGCAATGTACCATTCAAATATCCCCCTACCGATCGCGAATTTCAAAAATTCAATGATTATGCTTCTTTGAAGCCTGAGGACAAGATTGTGCTTCCTAGACACATATACTTGGATCAATTGAGAAAACTTAGCGTTAGAGAAGATTCGTGTACGTTGTGTTTCGACCAAAGAGCTTCAGTAAGATTAATGCCATGCAATCACAGGTAATATATATATACATATACTGTATATATACTGTATATATATATAGTTACTTGACCTGATCCTCTTTATTTATTCTGAATTTGAAGTATAGTATGTCCATATTTACGTAAGGTGTGTGTTCCTGTTATAATTTAAAGTGTTAATTAAATATCAATAACTAGTGTAGATAAGAGGATATGGAAGTGAAGTTTGAAACCATTGAAAATATGATATAAGTGATTACGTATTCAATGTGTGTGGATAAATGTGATGCGTGTATCAATAAGCTTTGTTTATTACGTTTAACGAGGATCAGTTATCTTGTTAGTTAAACACATATTTGATATGAAACATAAAAACGAATACTCTTTCAGAGGATTTTGCGAAACGTGTTCAAATCAGCTGGTAGAGTGTCCGATGTGTAGGGCTACAATCGAAGAAGTAGCTCTCGATCTTACATGACACCACATAAGCATACCAACACTTCTTAATACTCTTCCACTACCTTTCTCACATTATACAATTCTCAGGAACTGTAACGAGATAACCACTGTTGCAACACGCCGTATGCGTCACGTATTGGATATGACTATACTAATATTCTGTGCATTTCTTTTCTTACAATACAGTATTTTAAATGAAGAGAAGGACTATAAATCGACCTGTATTATTTTGAATGTTGCTTTTAACTATATAAATGTAATAAACAAATTATTATGGTATAAATTCAAAGCACCGAAGAATATCATCTTATCTCTATCGGCTGTGCAAACTACTTTCCCTAGATTTTACCTACATACAATTTGCATTTATTTAAATATCTAAAGTAAATTAGTCAAATAAAATTTGAATATTATTTTTACACTGTAGATACTGAAAGAAACAATATTTGCAATTTACAATGAAATTGCCACCAATGTATGTTGTACATTTCCAATTTAATGTTTGTGACTGGTTCACAAATATGTAGAAACTATTTTGTCCACAAACTTAAAGTTCTTCTCTCTTAAATTATGAAAGTCTGCATTATTATTACAAAGTAAGTTTTACTTTAGAAAACTGTAATATATTGATATCTTGTAGTATATATTGAAAAATATCATATAAATATATATGAGCTCATATTATTTTTTTGTGAAGACATGAAATGTTATCGTATGTATAACTTTGCAAAACTTTTTTACGAACTCTGTTGACTTTCATTCACGACAACCTGCCCTATTTCGTAAGATACTAATTTATGTATTAAATATATAAGTCACAACTTCTATATTTTTTTGTATTAATAGCCTAAAAACGATTTGTTGCTTTATAATAGCCTAGAAATTATTCGTATGCGCTTCCTTTCTACAGTTTAATTAGCGTAATTTGCAATTATTTAAAACTAATTCAGACCTATGTCAAATAAAATTAAAATCTGTCACATTATATGGAATCTGTAATTTTGAATCAAATCTCTTCGGTATTAACATTTCTACGTCGTAGTAAGCGTAAAAATAATTCACTTACGAATTTATGCAGACTTTAACAGGCGTCTCGGGAATACTAACGTTTTATTCGCGCGTTAATCGTCTCTATATTGATAACAAAATAATATTCGATCAGATTTTTATATTGTCGTTTCACTTTCAAAATTTCAGAAACCGTTGAAACGAGAATCAGAATTGGCGCAATATCGATATATCCGCGAATACGGTGTTAAAGAAACGATATATCTCGATTGAGGAAGTTAATCGCGTGGCCACGAGGGCGCGCTGCAGTTTGTTACAACATGGCGGGTGAGTGAGTGCCTGTGGATCGAACGAGGCTGCCCGAAAACACGAGGGATTTTCAGCTAACCCGTGGTGTTTGTGGGTTTCAGATACATCCTACATCGAAAAAGAAGACCTGGACGACTCAGATGAGGGTGAGTACTGACACCGAAATACATTTTTGATGGTTGTAAATGTGCGCGGAAGGGGTCGGTCGCTCGGCACGGTGGCCCCACCATCGAAGCATGCCAGTGTCTGGCGTGCGTGGCGGTGGCGTGGTCATAAACTCACGCTCGTTTAAGTACATTTTTCTATCTCGCGAGCTTTTGAGGTTAGGTAGGCTTATCAGGATTATTACCATGCATGACAGCATAATTTCCGACAACTTTAAACGGGTGTCACGTTGCCAGTTTGACTGCGAACCGTATGTCACGCCGTGATTCTCACATGCGCGAGCCAAAGACACGAGATCGCCTCGATGGCGTTTTATCGGTTAGGGGGCGCCACAAAACATGCCGCGCTGTGTTTACCTCGACCGTGGCTGAAAAAAGGTAGAAAACAGAAGAAAAGACACGCTCTTGTTTTCCGTCCTCATGTACAGTTTCTATACTCGTTTCGATGCTTTCCGCGAACTTTCCGTTACGATCGGAATGCTGTACGATTCCGAATCGTTCTGGAACGATTATATTCCGACCTCTGTTCTTAACCTATGTCCGACGATATAGTATGAGGTTTAACGAGCCATGTATATATCGCTTAACCGACGCACAACAAGATTTATTTTGACCTTCCCCGATACAACGACGGAGGAATACTTGAATCAACTTAACGTTTAATAGTCGCGATTCGTGGGATTAAACGCGAGTTCTTTGTTCGCGGGCATGTACATTTTCTGAGAAAATAGTCTCACAAAGTGAGACTATTTTTTAAACGAACAGTTTCGAAATATCGATTTAATGCGTAACGAAAAACATGGTTTGTTTTATTCGTTGTTCCATTTTTTTTTTTGTAGACACGGCTCGATAGCGTGTATACAAACCCCACGGATGTGTAAAATTAATTAAATCGGGCACAACGAAAGTATTCCGCTGGGTACAAGTAAACAAAGAGTTAATGCGCGGTTATTCGCCTATCGGGGTTAGTGATCTTTCGACTTCCATCTATTTGCTACTGCCATCTGTCGCGTACAAAACGAAACCGGGTTATTAACCCTTTGCACTCGAGAGGCGACTCTTGGTCGCCGATAGGTTTTACGTCGTAACTCGTGTGGCGACTAGGAGGTGACAACTATATTTATATCATATTTCATATCAAACCTTCAAGTCTTGGCAAGTACGTTTTTATTTGTTACTTTTATTTCACTTTACTTTACATTAAGATAAGTTACTACTTAAATTATACCCATTTTGTTTTTTAATCGAAATCATACCTATCTAGGGTATTTACCTTTCGCTTTCTTGTTCTGTTACACATGAATTCCCTCGCCAACTGTTGCTGCTAACTAACTCGTTGGCCCTAGTCGGTTTTATCTAACATTCCAGAGGTCGTTTATCAGCACGGCTCACTTATATTTCCCAGCGCTACCAGATAGAAAAACATTCGGGTCTGTGCCCTTCGATTCACGAGGCAACCGATCTAGATCGCGATGTATCTCGAAATTGTCGCACTGTGTAGTTTCAACGATTAGCGTGCAGAATTTACTCGATTTCTTATCGTGCGACTCGAGGTCGCTTACGTTAACAACTTCATGTTCTAGTCGTGACAAGCTTGTGTATATGCAAATTAAAGGATGATAACTTCTCGCTATTATCTATTTTAGGTTTCAACTCTTGAGGAATGTTACCGAATTAATGCAATTTATGAAACAAAATAGATTCCTTTTACGTGAGTAATCTTTTACAATTCACAGCTCGCATATCCTATTTGATGACGTGCAAAAGCAGCACGTGACACGCTACTTCTTGATTCATACTTCCGATCTAGACTCACCACCCGATGAATTATTACTTTTTTTCTTTTTTTGTTTTTTAATATGACTTTCGTGACTCGATCATTCATTTCGAGCAACGTCGATCGAATCACCTTACCTGGAAGAGACTATTCGCGGAACGGAGAAGTCTGGATTGCAGGTGATTTATTTTTATATACCTGCAATCAGCGACTTTGAGTCATTCTCATAGCTGTACCACGAATCGTCTCGAGTGGGTGAGAAACGTTCGTTGAATTTTTTCAAAGTTCAACATATGGCGGGACAGCTATGGGAGCCCGCGGTAAACGGTAGTAATCAGCCGCGATTATGCAAATTATTCGGTGACTGGCTGTGACAGCTAGCCGGGGCCGTACGTTTCTCGGGTATCAATGAATCCTTCTTTTGATTCGCGTGACAATATCGTCGTATTTACGAGCCGCCTCGTAATTCTAGGCCGGCTACAATTTAACCCCCTAAGTTCGCGTAGACTCAATCGGGTGATCGAATTCGTCCTGAAAATACGTGTAATTATCGAAACGTCGACTCGAGTTTATTTCGCAGGAAGTAGTCATTGTTGGAATGTTAAGCTTGCAAATTTGTTGCACTCGAAACGTATGCGTTCGAAAGTCGAAGTAAGTTTACTTTGCAGATGGTAGTCATTGAATGTTAAGCTCGCGAATTTGTAGCATTTGGAGTATATGTAATTGATTAGAATGGTGGAGTCAGTTTGCTTTACAAGCGGTAGTCATTGTTTGAATGTTGAGCTTACAAAGACCACAATCGGGACGTTGGCCATTTATGAGATCACATTAGCCGTCAATTTAGTGTCGCTGGTATTAGAAATGCTATAAAATACCAAGCTGCCCCATTGAACTGCAGTTACAATTACAATTTGTCCAAATATCGATTCAACGTGTGAACGGTTTGAATAGTTGAATCTACCGAAGTAGTTCATCCCTTCCACGATTGGCGAGCCGCGCGACGCATTTCGCGCGATCTCCAAAAGGGCGACGGAAATGATCGACGCAGACGCGCCGCGATCGATCGAACTCCAACAGGTTACGAATTCTGCGAGTCCTTGCGAAACATTTGCCGCGAAGAAAGAGAGCAGTCTCTTTAACTGGCGCGTACGTTGCTCCCTATTCTGTTTGCGTTTATCGGCAAAGTGATCTCTTTATTTATTTTTTTTTTTCTTACTCTCCCATTTTTTCCCTCCTCTCTCTCTCTCGTACGACGTCGACATCGGTCGAGGAGGATAGGCGACGTATAAAGAACAGGGACGAGGGGGAAGAATGACGTGAAAGCGGGGAGAGGAAGAGGCATAGGACGAGTATAGGTGGATATACAGAGAAACTTTAATTTCTTGGCATTGTGAGGAGTTCCTTGCCCTTTCAGCCTTTTCAGTACGGTGGTCTGTTTTTGATAGGAGGCCACGTCGTCTAGACACACCGGGGGTTGCCCAGCTTTTATAATCGCAACGAAATGCACCCCTCCGTGCTCGACGCAAAAATACCGGTTTTTTCGCCTGTTCTCCCTCTCTTTCGATCTATCTATCTAGCTCGACCTCCCCCCGTCGTTGAATTTCTCTACCCCCTTAGCTCTACCATCACCCCTTCGTTCCGTAGTGACGTGCCAGCGCGTTACATTAAAGTGATTTATTCTCTTTATTAAATTCGCATTCGAGGCTACGAGAGCACATTCTCCGAGGTTCCCGTGAATCGAATCCCCAAGACCGGATATCCAGAACGATACGTCGTCCCTCCACTCGGTGCGACCTGTCTCTAGTCCAAGTGCCCAGGGATGATTTTTCCCTCCGAACCGGGTGACCGTAGTCAAAGGTCACGGGAGGGGCACGAGTTCTGGTAGCTTTTTTTAAGTAATTTCTAAAGATATCATTAGTTGGATTCTTACTTGGAAAATGTTTTGGACGAACAGAAAGTACAGTATAGCATAGGTAGTAATGTATTTTATTGTTTAAAGAGGAATGTTTAACCCTTAGTTAGTTGCTTGCCTTGCATCGTAAACTCATTCTGCGCGGCTAAGTTTTCTAATCTTCCCGACAGGGAAATGGATGTACGAGGGATGAAAGGGCAGTCTGTGCACGAATGTTCTTCTCGTTACTTTAGAGTTACAAGTACGTAAAAGTAGTAATCACTGTAACGCGTGTTCTCGTTTGGAGCAGAACACGAAATCAACGCCCTGCCATGATAGAACAAATTTATAACGAATACATTTATAGGATTATCTTAGGATGTTAAAATTTTGTTTGCAATGAACAAGTGAAGGGAAAGTTTCATTGATAAAACACATTTATCTTAGACGTTTGTCACCTCTTTAGAAATTCGAAAACCACAGTCGCTGTTGCAACCTACTCCTGGTTAACTTCAACCCTCCCCGTCTTCAATAAAAAAATAACAGTTTTGTTGATTCTAGCTCCTTTAATCGAGCAAAAGTTTAAAAATCCGCT